TCACTGCAGAAACATTTAAAGGTTGAAGTTTAGGTTAACACTAAATTTCTGCCAAAAAAGTGCAACTTTGTTCTACATTAAATAAACATGGAAATTTGTCCTGTCCCTTTCATAAAAGAATGAAGGTGGGCTGCTAACTTCTCTTTCCGCATAGTTTAAGCATAATTCTTGTAAAATACTCATCAGATCTTTTTTTGTGATAATATTGGCTAGCCAGGTTAACAGTAAAAGAGAAGACTGTTAAATACGGACTGTATAATAAATTATATGTTACTATGGAGAATCATTCTTTGCAGCTAACCTGCTCCAGACCAGGCTTGAATCCCGGTGTCTTCTTTGTTCTGTCACTCTGATCAGAAACGATGCTTTTTTTTTTTTTTTTTGCAGTTAATCTGTAGAATGTGATAATCATTGTTACTGATTGCATTCATGAAAATTGCTGTTAATATTAGCTACACACACACACACACACACACATATGTGTATGTATGGGTGTGTGCAGTGCAATTTCTGCTCACTTTACATAAATCAACAAATTGGGTTCACTTAGTCCATTTAAAATTCCTAAATATCATTTACTGAAATACAAAAAAAAGCCACAATAATCAAAGTCAAAATAAGTAAACTGTTTAAAATAAATGAAATCTTAAATACATTTTTTATTAAACCCAAGTAGTGGCCCTACAAAACCCCTCACCCTTTTTAAATTAATTTTTCTTTCTCAAAAAAAGAAGAAAACAACAGTTTTTTGGGTTAAAACACTTGAAACAAAGCAAAAAAGCACAATGAAACACTTTATTAAACAGAGGACAGGGCCGCTGTTGTCCCATGGGAAAGTTTGATGCTTTGTTTGACCCACCATTCACCCCAACCTTTTCATTACACAGTCTGTCTTCCTTCATATTCTACCATCTGGATACTGTATTGTAAACCCCATATGAGACACTAAAAGGTACTTGACATATTGTCAGTGTTTGACAATATGTATGAATGAGGACAGTCTGGACATTTTAACATGTCAAAGTAGATTAAGGAGAGAGGTCCAATAAATTAAGCAGCAGTGGCCTAAATGTTTGGGAAACAAGCTTGCAACTGGAATGTTGCTGGCTCAATACCAATGTCCAGCCTGGCAGGATAAAAAAAAAATGGGTGGAACAGGTTACCCTCATTAACATCACTGTGGTACCCTTGAGCAAGACCTTTAACCATAACACCTCTAGATGAGGAGTCAGATTTGGTTTTAAACCAGTCATGAAATGGAAACTTCAAGACAGTGCTACACTGCCTGGAATCGGAAGACTAGGCACAGGGCCTTCCCTTGAAGGGTAGATCATCATCACCTGGTGGTTCAGTCTGCACCCACAGGGCCTGGTCAGGCTTTGCCTAAACTGAGACTAAGGGATTGCTGCCTCGTGGGACCCTCATTTGCATGACTGAGAGTAAGAGTCTGGTATGTAGCCACTTGGGCAGCAAAGGTGTGGGCCTTGTCATTTACATCATGAGATCATCTAGCGATTGTGGCATAATTGTAAGCACCCAACAACAGCTGTAGCTTTACTCCTTCCACCTGCTTCATGTTGTGGTCATGGCTGTGCTAAAATGCACTGCTGTGGCTGTGTTGTGCTTGGTTTGCCAACACAGAGCAACATGAAACATTATCACGTAATTAAATGAAATGAGAATAATGGAATGGGAGATGAATTAAAGATAAAGCCTGATGAAGTAATGAAAGGAGGGACAGATTCACTCTCTGCTACTGAGGAACGTCACCAGAGGAAAAGAGGGAGGATGAAAAGCAAATGCCTTTATATGACAGAGTTTCTGGCAGAGAACTGCCAGGGCTCAGCAGCTGCTCTACTTCTGTCTCTCTCTGTCTGATGATGGAGGAAGCTGAGCTCTGCTTTCCACATCTCAACTCCTCCTGCAGGAGAGCCATGCATCCTTACTTTGTAACCATGGTCACTTACATGATACTGTCCACCATCTTTCTGCTCACTCTGACTCTCAACCTGCTGGTCATCATCTCCATCTCACACTTCAAGTACTCAAATATTTTGATAATTTATAAGAAAAAGGGTCCAGTTTCTAAATACTGTTCTGTGTTTCAATCATGGCTTTTATTTGCAGGAATAATAAGTGATAAATAACAATAAATATATTGTTGGTGCTTCTCTCCAGGCAGCTCCACACCCCAACCAACCACCTTATCCTCTCTCTGGCTGTGTCTGATTTCCTCGTGGGTCCCATCATGATGTTTCAGATTTTGCTGGTAAATGGCTGTTGGTTACTCAGTGACTTCATGTGTTCTCTCTACACTGTTACTGACTATATTATTACTTCAACCTCAATAGGAATCATTGTGCTCATATCCATTGATCGCTATGTGGCTATTTGTGACCCTCTGCATTACCCTACCAAAGTCACTCAAAAAAGAGTTCAAGTCTGTGTTTTGTTGTGCTGGATATGTTCTGCACTCTGTCACACTCTAATGATGAAGGATAACCTGATACACCCTGGCAGGTACAAATCCTGCTCTGGAGAATGTGTGGTTGTTGTTGATTACATTGCTGGGCGTATTGATATGTTTTTGTCCTTCATTGGTCCTGTCACTACCATTGTTATTTTGTATATGAGAGTGTTTGTGGTGGCTGTGGCTCAGGCTCGTGCCATGAGGTCCCAAATTGCAGCTGTCACACTGCAGGGTTCAGCAAATGTAAGAGCTAAGAAATTTGAAATGAAAGCAGCTAGGGCTCTTGGTGTTGTTATTGTTTTGTTTATAATATGTCTCTTCCCATATTTTTGTGTTACACTTACAGGCCAGGACACCCTGATTAATGAAGGATCTGCCGCCCCTATATTATGTTTGTTTTATTCTAACTCCTGTCTAAATCCTATGATCTATGCTATTTTTTACCCCTGGTTCAGAAAATGTATTAAACAAATTGTTACACTTGAGATTTTAAAGCCTGGCTCCTGTGAAGCCAAAATAATGTAGAGAGCGAGAAGCCACCAACATTTCAGTCAGTCAAATGTGTTTAAGCAGCCAAGGAAAATTTTAAAAAATGCTGTTATATTTTTAATGTCAACAAACAGAGGCATTGACCCCAAAATAGTAAAATACGAGCTTTCTTCATGTTACTGTGACATTGATTACAAAATCTAAATGTCAGAAACCTGAAAACACTTTTACTGTACCTTGACAGTTACTCTAATAGTGCATGAGTCTCCATGAACTTGTCTTCTGTTCATTGCCAGATTTTCATCTTTTCACTCAAGTAATGACATTTAGTTTTAAAGTAGGGTTGGCAGTTCCTACCAGAAGCATTTTTATTACATTTGATAAATTTTTCTTTTCATCCCGATGGCAATGAAAGAGTCAAAATGTGCTGTAGAAAAGCTATGTGTATCTACTCAGTGGTTGCCACTTCAAAGGAAGAGATACAGTAATATTCATTCATTCCATGCAAGCAAAGAACCACCTTTTATAAATGGAGTTAGATATTCCTGAGATTTTTGCAAGTACTCCATGCAAGCCTACCCATTTTTGCCCAGTCATCAATTGTGGCTGAAATTGGCTGCTGTGCTTCCCATAACAGGTCCATAAAATTAAGCGAAAATTTGAAAAAGTGGGATATATGAAGAAGTGAAAGTGCATTGTTTTATCTCTTGCACAAATTATTAATTTCTCACAGACAGTCTGCATGTGTGCAATAGCTAAGAGAACAATGATAGTAACTGACCAGCCTGTAAATGAATTTATTTATTTCCATCCTTACAATGCATTCTAGTATGCACCTTAATTTCCAAATTTTTAAAGGTCACAAATTATGCAAATTGTCAGGTTAATATTGTTATTTAAGGGTTGTATTATAAAAAGTTTACACCCTTGTATGTTCATAAAGTTCATTAGTTTCCTCAAAGCACCAGTACCCAGACCCTCTTTTCCTCTCCGTTTTAATTCTTGCTTATATAGCACTTGAACTGATTATTTATATTCCCATATGGTTCTAACATTTTGTGCAGGAGTGTGTTTGAGGTTAAAAAGTCTGACCATGTTTGGTGATTTATTTATTTTAAGTTTTTCCTTCAATTATTCAACTTAAGTGCACACTTTAGGCCTGCATCAAAATTAATACACCAGGCAAGATATGTTTAAGAGCTGTGCAGATTTTCATTAAAAGAATATACCATGCTTGTTTCCTGTATGTTATTATTTATGTACTGTTATGTTGGTCTGTCCTGGAAGGATGGCCTAGACAAACACTTGTTGACCTCAGCATTAACTTTGGTTTGGAAAAGTGTGTTTACCTGCAACATGTCATTATAAAAGATGTTAAATGTCCTCTTAATCACATTGTTCACTGCGCCTGCTGTCATACAGTTAACTGTTTACTAGTTTCTGGCACAGCGGGTCAGTTCAGGCTTCACACAGCACAACTGTTTGTCTAAGAGCAAAAGTCCAGGTTTATGGCTGAGACAAATACTCAAATGCCTCTATTGTCTGCTTCACAACATCAGTTACTTTACTTTATTTCAGGATCAGATAATTGTTTACCTTTATGGGCTTTCTTTGTTAAATCCAAAGACTGACTACTACATGATCTGAGCAGAGGGCACACTTACACAGTTACTGTTGTACCTGTATTGTTCTAAATGATTCTGGTGTGGATCACATTTTGATGTGGATGAAACATAAGTACCTTTTACTCATATGTGATTCTTACACAGCAGTGTGAGTAAATGAACTGCAGGGTCACAAAACAAACAGCAGCAGGTTGATGATGTTAGCCAGTGTAAATCCCCAGAACAGATTCCTCATACATGCTGCAGGTAGTCTGCTCTCAGTATCAGGGTGTTACTGCAGTGTTTTCTTTTATCCTCTTTAACATAAAAGTGGTGCATTGATGACAGATACCAACTATTTAAAGTAGTTTGTACCTGCCTTACCTCTGCTTAAAACAGTCACTTTTCACCATGAAAAACTATATTTTCAAATCTCTCTACAGCATGTTGGTCTCACAGGAGCCAGGCTGCAGTGTCTTAAGTGTAACAATGAGTTTAACTGATTTTCTAAACCAGGGGTAAAAGAAGGCATAGATCACAGGATTTAGACATGCATTTAAATCATACACATTCATTACAATTGTAGCAGATGAAGCATCGATCAAGTTATCTTGGCCTGTAAGAGCAACACAATAATATGGGCAGAGACATATTAAAAACACAACTACAACAACACCAAGAGTCCTGGCTGCTTTCAGCTCAGACTTTTTAGCTGATACTTTCTTTGAACCAATGTGAGACCTCATGGCATGAGCCTGAGAAACAGCCACCACAAATACTCTCATATAAAGAACTACAATAAGAGTAATGGGAGCAATGAAAGAAAAAATAAAATCTACAATTCCAGTAATGTAGTTATTTAAAAAGATACACTGTCCAAAACAGGTGTTATACCTGCCTGGTTGTTCTAGGACATCCTTCACAACTATACTTTGAAATAATACAGAAAATATCCAACACAAACAAATGTAGATCTGAATTCTTCTTAGTGTGATTTTGGTGGAATAATGCAGAGGGTAACAAATAGCCACATAGCGGTCAATAGATATAAGCACCATGGTTCCTACTGAAGCAGAGCAAATTATGTAGTCTAGGTACTGATACAAAGTACACATGATGTCACCAAGGTACCAACAACCGTCGATCAGCATAAACTGAAACAATGGCATAAGGCCGATGAAGAAATCGGAGACAGCCAGAGAGACAATGAGAAAGTTGGTGGGAGTGTGGAGCTGCCTGGAAAGGAAGACCAAAAAAAAAAAGAAAAGAAAAAGACCAAACAAAAGTTAGCATTATTCAATCACATGATTATTTATTTTATCTGTTGACTTTTTATAAGTATGTACAATTTTCATAGATTAATTAAATCTATGGGTACTTGAAGTGGGAGATAGAGATGATAACAAGCAGATTGAGAAATGCAGTGAGTGGAGAGATGGAGAAGACTTGAATGTAAGTCATCATGGTCTTAAAGTCAGTATGTGTTGTCTTCAAACAAGAGGTGTTGAGGAGCTGTGGAAAGCAGAGCTCGGTTCCCTCAAAGGTCTCCATCGCAAGGAGAAGCTGCCAAAGTCTGGCAGCTTTTTGACCAATGCTTCCAGTCATACAGCTGATTTATCGGTTTCCTCACCTCCCACCCCTCCTCACCTCTGCTGCTGTTTTTCTCTGTGTAGAGAAAAGTACAGTACTATGCTCTCTGTATTCATCTTTTTAAATGATGATGATGACTTTGGT